GATTGATGTGTGCTCTTATTGGATACATTTGTGAATGTGTATGGTGGGTTATGACGTAGTCTTGAATGGGTTCTACACTTTAGTTTAATTGTCATTAGGTAGACAATTCATTCTTGATGTTGATAATCTATGCTTACAATTGTGATTTGTGATGATAATATGACCACATCTATAATTACACTAATAAATTCCCCATTAATTGAAAGCATATGGTTAATTGCATGGGTTAGTGGTGAATCCTAACCCTAAGACTCTCTTCCTATCTCTTTAATTCTTAGTTTAATGTCATTTCTATTTTCATGCTTTTAATTGAATTTTAGTTTAATCACTCCACCAAAATATTTTTCTCTCACACTCTTTCTCTCTTCTCTCTTTTACAATCTAATTAGCATTAAAATCAAGTTTAGTCCCAACACGTATTCAATCCCTTGGTTCGATCCCTTCTCACTTCATACTACATAGTATAAGTGTCTAGCGGTTTACAAATGTAAACTATGATGCCCGCTTGATACCATTTCCAAAACCAAAGTGTTGTGCATTATTTTGTGCACACGCTCGGGTCGCATCAAACTGCATTCCATCTTAGTCTGTCTTAAGGATACCGTTGAGCTGTGTTTTTTTACTAAATCTTAGTTTGAATCACATGCACGTATGGGGTAGTCTTGCACATGTGCGTTTGATATGGACAAGTAAGTTGGAAGCAAATCATAGGCATGCTAGATTTGATAGCTACTCTTAAGTCACTAGGATGGATTATTTTATGATCTCAATGATAAAAGTTGATTGTTTACACTCACTGTTTATCTGTAGGAGGGTCATATTATGAATTACATACCTAGGAGCATAATGTTAGAGAATATGGTATGAGTATCAGATGTACCACATTTGAACACACTTATTATAGAGATTGAGAATAATAAATGAATTCTCTATTGGTGCGTCAGCATCATCTTGTACACAGATTCCTGCATCGGTACATTAATGTAGTGGGAGGATTATCATCCAATCCGACAGAATCATGTTTTTAAGTGAGACCATTATGGATATCCCGGTTAAACATGAGTTGGACCCAGTAAGCTACACGGAAGCGTGGACCGATATGGATACAGATCGTTTTGGCGAGTTACTATGAAATCAGAGTTGGAATCTATGTATTCTAATAAATTCTGGGATCTTGTAGAACTTTCTAGTAGGGTGATTCCTATGGAAGGCAAGTTAATCTACAAAAAGATACCAGAAGATTTTTTAGTGAATAAATCATGAGTGTACAAGGGAATGTCATTATTTTTCTGATTCTATATTTATATATGACATCCTACTCATTTAGAATGATGTGGAAGTTTTGTCATCGATAAAGAGGTAGTTGTTCAATTACTTTTAAATGAAGAATTTTCAAGATGTAAGCTATATTCCTAGGATCAAGCTTTTGCAAGATCAGGTTAAAAGGAAAATAGGCTTATCTTAATAATCATACATTGGAAAAGTTTTTATCAGGTTTGGTATGCATAGCTCAAAGAATGAGTTCTTACTTTATTGATATGGATTGCTCTCTCTAGTAAGTAGTTTTTCAAGACTATCAAAGGAGATTGAGCAAATGAGACTGGAACAATATGCTTCGGCATATGAGAGTCTCATATATGCCATGGTCTATACCAAATAGGACATCCGCTACATAGTAGGGATAGTCAGGAAAGATCAGTCCAATACTGGACTTGACAACTAGTCTGTTGTGAAAAATATCATTAAGTACCTAAGGAGAATCAATGATATCATACTCATTTATGGATGTGATGATATGGTCCTAGTCAGGTATGCTAGTTCTGATTTTCAATCAGAAGTAGATACTATGAGGTTCATGACTTAGTGTATGTTCACTTAATGGAAGGGAAATCAGTTGGTAGATTGTTAAACAGATTTCAACTGCTGACTCAAACCTGTAGGTGGAATATATTGCAGCCTTAAAGGCGGCAAAAGAAGCTTATTGGTTTGATCTCACTGATTTAGAGGTTGTGGAGCATACTAGCCTGCCTATCGAGCTATATTGCGACAATAGTGCAGAAGTAGTCCAAACCAATTACCCAAGGTTCCATAGATGAACAAAATACACTGATAGGAAGTATCATGATCTACATGATATTGTCCGGCAAGAAAATGTACTTGTGGTTAGAACATTGCATTGGAACACAACTTTGTTGATCCATTAACAAAGGTGTCGTCGATCAATAGTTTTGATCAACACCTGGATAACATTGGAGTTAGATGCAATTTGAATTGGCTATGAGGAAAATGTACTTATGGCTAGAATATTGCATTAGAACACAACTTTGTTGATCCATTATCAAAGGTGTTATTGATCAATAATTTTGATCATCATCTGGATAACATTGGAGTTAGGTGCAATTTGAATTGGCTATGAGAGCAAGTGGGAGCTGTTGGGATTTATATGCCCTGGCATAGCAAATTCCTGTTTGGATTAAAGTGACATATGTTCTTGACGTTTATGAAATATTTATGTTTTATACAATTGGTGAATTCAATGTATTATATTTCGATTCATTATAGAATTGATAGTGTCCATTTGATTACAAGAGATATTTATATATATGTTTGTGATGGCAATCAATGCATGATATATAAATAGTAATCATAAATGGTTCATAGTCGGTAATTATGGATGGACTCATAATTAATTAAGATTTGAACTAGATCCGCGTTAGGTTGAGATATATTGCGAGAGCCGTCGTATGCAATTGCTCCCTATCACCGCCATGGCATTTGACTCTTAAGTATGAGAAAATTATAGACTCTTTTATTAATTAATAATTACTTTGATTTGTTCGGCGGATTCTTCGGAATCCTTAGACCGACACTTTGGGTAGTTATGTAATTAATAGTTAGAGGGTTATATTTTCAATATTTGCATCATTGCTACTTGTATTTATTTTGTATTGATTATGGTTGATCACAAAGTAAATTCGAAGGCCTTCGTGTATTTTTAGACAAAATGATTTATTATATATTTATTTATTTAAATTATTATTTTTGTCAAACAAATGTTTTATTGTGATCGAGCCAGAAATAATCAAAGGTACCAAAATAAATATATTAATTAAGTAGTCGGATTGATGGCTTTATTTATCCGATAACTAATTATGCATAGAGGGGTCAAAGTGCAATATTGACTTAGAGGTTATTTATTATTTAATTGGAGTTTAATTAATTTCTTTTAGTGGGGTAGAAATTAATTTATGAATTAATTGAATTGGGTCCATGGACCGGGCCAATTATTAATTCATTGTAGCCAATCAAATAATAGGCCTAATGGATTCTCACTCATAGCCCAACTTGATATTGGAATCATATTAGATTTGAGACATATGAATTAGAGATTGAGAAGGATTAGTTGTTTCCTTTTCTTTACCTTTATGTTGCCTATAAATATACATGGTCTATGTATATTTTAGGGGTGATTTTTAGTAGAAGGAAAAAGGAATATATTTTCTCTCTCTAGAAAATTAGGATTTATGTTCTCATCTAATGGAGGCTCCCACAAGCCTAGTTTTCCAAGGTCATTCATGGAGGCATATGAGTGATTCCTAAAGGCAAAACAATTATCAAGAAGATGGAGATCCAAGAAGAATGCATCTTGCTAAGGGATCTACAATTAGTGAGAACATTCACTTTAGAAGAGAGATCTAAGGTTTACTCAAACCTTGATGTAAGTATTCAATCTTTTAATTGAATGATACATCATGTTTTATTTTTGCATAAAACTTGTCTCTATATAATGAATCAAGATCTATAAATTTAAATCCCTCGAAAAGTTTTTAAAACTAGCACGTTTCCCAACACTCTGTTCTTGGGTTTGTCTCCGATTTTACTTGGCGGTGAAAATGAATGGTGGTTAGGTAATCTATGTATATGATGTGCATTATACAAATTTGAGGAGTGATTCACGTATGTACAAATTCGAACCCTAAGCTTGCAAATCGCCCTTTCTCGCTCTCTGTGTGGATGTTGACTGTAGGCACTGAAAATTCACAAACTGAAGTATTGTATGTAATCCACAAACCTTATATAAGTGATAGTTTTCTTGATCTCTGTGTACTGATTTGGTAGATAAGATTGCCGAGGTAAGCTCTGTCATAATATTTTTCTGTGTACAGGTTTGGTTTTCTTTGTTTTTGTAAGATAACCTGTGTTATGAGGACGTTAAGGTTTCAGTGAATCAGGAAACTACAGAATTCTAGCAGTTTGATGTGAGAGATGGAGCAATCTAATGGGAAGTTTGGCGTTGAAGGTAAGAGCGAGACGGTGAAGAATGAGTTGAGGAAGATGAATCGGAATTGTTGAGGATGTCATCGACAGTGCGGTGACTGGTGAGGTATGGATAAAGAGGTGGTTGTGGTCCTCATCGCCGCTTCACGTTGATGGTAGAGGTGTTTGGCGTCCTCATCGCCTATTGTTGCTATGTGATTGTTACTCATTACGGCTGGTCATCTCCTCCCCATTCTCTTCTGTATTTCTTCTCTCACACACAAAATTTACTTCGCATCAATGTCTGTGCTTAATGGTGTTGATGGACTTTTCCTTTTTTGTTCACCGTTGTTAATGGATTCACTCACGCCAGTCGTATTTGGTACCAAACGAGGTGGGAAAGGTGAGCCACTAAAATGAGGTGGGGTAGTGATAAGGTGATGCATTGGCAAATTTTTATTGGGTCTTTAGTTTTTATTTGACATGTCAGCAGAATAAGTTGATTAAAGCACCAAAACGGTGCCGTTTATTAGAGGGTAATTCTGTAATCTTGATTTTTCGGCGCCGGAGACTCACCTGATGTCCTTAACTGCAAATTTTTAGTAGTTCAGGGGGGCATTTGTTAATTCAGGGGGTTTTGTGTAATTATCTTAGAGTTCAGGGGGATTTATTGCACTTTACCCTATATATAATGGATGTACCTGCTTTTGCTTGAACCGTCAAAAAACCAAAGAAAGTTGAAGTGAAACACAAGGGAGGAATAATCTTTTATTAAAAGGGGAAGAGAGCAAGAACTCTCTTGAATTATACAAAATCATATCAACCCCATAAGAGGTCACCAAAGAATAAATACTACAAGAACCACTCAACCAGAAGGAGAAACTTGACAAGCAAAAAAGTAAATAAGATAATAATCACTACATAAAACACAAACAATATAACTCAGCACATAGTGAAGGTCGATGCATAAGTTGCAACAAAAAGGAGGAGCAAGTGCAGAGGAATTGTCAAGCTGATTGAGTTTCCATCCGAGGAGCCAGTTTCAGTAGTTGACGGCACCGTTTTAGATCCAGTTCCTGCATCCATTGAAGCATCAACATGAGCATTCTTATCGCAGAAATCACAATAACTTTTGGGCTATATATCCTATATATACAACATTACCATGTGCAATGAACATATATATATATATACCTGAACTGGGAGATTCTGGTGTTCCTGCAGGAGAGTTGGCTGGAGAAGCAGCTGTACAGGTAGAGATTTTACAAGTTAATCACAAGAGCAGATATAATATCATCATATTTTTCTAGGGTGCGTAGGGAAGTTAAACTAAAAGAAAGCGAAGTGAATGAATGGAAAATAAATTTTCCAACATACTGAAAAAAAGTTTCTAATAATCTTTTTTAAAATTACCATTTTATAGTTTGAATGCATTAAACTTACAAGTAAAGAAATGGGTATTGTTGTAAATTCATAAGAAAATTTGATAGTTACCATTGCAGCGGCTGATGGAAGGAGTCTGGACATTGCAAGCAGTGGGAAGGGCAAGGGCCTGAGTTTGGTTGATATTAAGGCCCAGGGAGGAGCCACCACCATTCAGTACCTCACACAGACATTGAGGTTGTGATCGAACGACGCTGGCAAGCTGCGTGCAGCATCCTGAAGACGGCGTGGAGGAGTTCCCGGAAATGTAGTTGAGGCAGGGGGACATGCTAATGATCACGTTTGTACAGCTCGACGACTGTGCTGTGGCTTCTGCCCAGAGCATGGTCACCAGGACTAGGACTAGACCCATCTCAATCCCTTTGTGTGCCATTTAATTTGATGTTTTGCTACAACAAATTAATATTAGTGGAATGAGGAAAGTGTGTGTGTGTGTGTCTTTTTTTTTCCCTCTTTGAGCAACACTATGAGTAAATAAGTTGGAGAAAGATAGAGAAGGGTGTGTTCCTTATATAGGAGAAATTTGGGAAGAAGAGTCAAATGAAGAGATGGGCTGTGTGGGTGACCAACTTCTCCTACTGATTAAACAATGAAATGGACTATAACTACTTTCTTTTTCTTTTCTATCCTATACCCTCAAATGGTCGGGTGCGTAGATGACCAACTTTTAACTTCTACCAGGTTGTTCGCTAAACAACTTGTTGGATGAGGGAAAGTATACGATATTCCAAGTGGTGGCGTAGGAGCAGCGTAATAATCGTGATACTCCTATTCAATGCACAGATGTAAAAATGGACAATGCTGGAGTCCCCTTTTCAAGGTAATTTTAGTTTTGCAAGTTGAGTTGGCTCAATAAGAGACTGACACTTTTATTCAACTCTAAAAAATATAAAGAATGGATTGTACCCATTTATTTAAGGCTAAACCTGACATATCACTCATTTCATTTTTGTTTCTCTCTCATCCCATTTGCTTATGTCTCTATTTCTTTTTTGTTTCTCTCACACCAAGCTCCATCTCCGTTTCATATTGTCGCCTCCATTCACAAATCCAAACTCTAGAAAACGTCGCTCAACCCCTTGATTTCGGACAGTGTTCGCGTCTTAGCAAGGATTGATTCAAATTTTTATTTTCTTGATTCACATTCTTGAAGCAGGTATATATATTCGAACATTATATTTTTCAATGCAAATTGTTCTTTCTTCCTTCAAAGAGCTTAAATCAAGTATGGGTTTTGTTGAATTTTTGTTCAAAACGAGCTTAATTCAAGCTTAATTATGTTCAAATCTTGGGTTTCTTTCCTTTCAAAAACAAAGGTTTTTGTTTGTTTTCTTTTCCTCTCATAATTATTTAGGTTCGTTTTCCATAAAATAAAAAAAAAGGGATATTCTTCTTATTTTTTTCCTAAATGATATTCTTCATTAGATCAAAAATGTATTGATATATACTTTTAGGGTGAAGTTTCATTCAATTATATTATTTATATATATATATATATATATATATATATATATATATATATAGTTATGCTCTTTAGCAAAGGGAAGAAATGTTCTATAGCTGTTATCTGATCATCACGTCTTCAAGAAAAAAAAAATCATTAAAAATGTAAAACAAAAGAAAGGTAAAGTGAAAAAGCTTTTTCTTCAAATTCTACCCTTCTAGGAAAGAACAGGAATTCATTGTAATGCATAAAAATAATAATAATAATAATAATTTAAAAATGAAGACATAGGAGAGAAAAACAAAAAGGAAATGAATGATATGTCGGGTCTAGCCTTAATAAATGGGTATAACTCATTCTTTGTATTTTTTAGAATTGAATAGAGGTGTCAGCTTCTTATTGGGCCAACTCAGCTTGCACGACTAAAATTGTCATGATAAGGCAAGACTCGAGCATTGTCCTATAAAAATTCTCAATTTATCTTGAGATATGAAAAATGAGTAATTTTCAAGAAAAAAAGGTGTCTATACTTTGTGCAGAGTGAATTGTTTGATTTACAAAACTTTGTTTGGTTATCTTTATCAAATATAAACAATAAAAATTTTTATTTTTTTATATTTTGCATACATAATCGATCATAATTCGTAGGTAATATAATTTACTTCAAGTAATTAATTGATCTAAGAATCATATATATATATATATATATATATTTCCTTACAATAATCGGGTGTATGTGCCTGAAATTTTGCCCGACTAATCTAAGGGACCGAGCAAAGCTAGGATATTGTATAGTTTCTCCTTGGATGGACGCAACTTGTAGAAGACTTTTAGAAACTTTTCCTAAGAGTACTAAAGCATAACGTGTCTCTGACTCCTACCTTTTTATGTAGTTTGTGGCATTGTTTATGTATTGGTACAGAAAGCAGATAATATTTTACTAAAATAAATTAAAGAATACCAGATGGAATATATGTATGAAGTGGAGTATAGAAGGAGCTCTATTTTAAAGGCTTCTTAAGTTAGTTAGTTAACGTCCTTTTATTATTGGGACACCTGTTTTCTGCCTATAGAAGGAGCTCTATTTTAAAGGCTTCTTAAGTTAGTTAGTTAACGTCCTTTATTATTGGGACATCTGTTTTCTGCCTATAGGAGCTTTAAAAGATTATGAATAAAAAATGGGTATGTCGACCAAATGATTCTCAAGGCTTACCATAAGTGGATAACAATGCCAAACAAGAAGAACTAACGGTTCCTTTGAACTTACCTATCCTATGCCTTGTAAACTCTTGATGCACGCAACCGGTTATGGAACTAACTTCCATAGGCATTTTCAGTTGAACTGCTCCCGTGAGTAATTTTACTAAAATATATTTTTGATACACGCAATATATATAACGGTTTTGATACTCACACACTAATATATATATATATATATATATATATATATATATGATGTGTATCATTATTATTATTCTTTTTAGGACGAAATACACTTACCCATTTGTACACCGTTATAAATGACCATTATAAATTTATAAGTATTGATCCATGGTGAAGCAGTCTGTACACGTGGTAAAGGGTGATAATTCGTGTTTGTGGGTCATCATCGTATCGTGTCAATCTTAAAGTGTTCGCTAGTCATAATCGTATCGTGTCAACCTAAATGTATTTTATTTAAGAAATTAACTCGAATACGACTCATTTAATAATCGTGTTATACTAACCCGACTTTTACCAAAATTAGATATTATATTATTTAAATTATTAATAATACTCAATCAAACAATAAATACTACCAAAAAAAAAAAAAAATTCATTAGCTAAGGAGCTAATGTATATTTTTCTTATGATTTATGTTAAAAAAACACAATTGTCCATAATAATTGGGTCTAAACAAATAATGAATTATAAAGGGATATTAACTTGATGATGAAATTTTAAGTTAAATTGGTATAAACGGGTTATACGTGTTGAACCCCTCAACCCTAATATGACACGACTAATTAAACGGGTTAATCATGTCGACCTGTTTAGGACCTAAACCCATTTAAGGTAAACCTAAACATGTTTATCTCGTATCGTGTTCGAGTTGTGTTAGCGGGATATGTCGAATTTTGCCACCCCTAATATGTAGGTACATTGGTATTAATTTGCATTGAAGTACTACTCGCACATTCAAATTCATTTATTTAAAGACAATAGTACTCTAGCCAGTAACTCAAACCTAAAAGTTATGGTTTTCACCGATACCAAAACAACCATTTTGGTATAGGAGTATTTTGGGTAGAAATCGAAACCATGTTTGGTAAAGGAAAATTTGTTTTAGAAAATTCGGAACCAGAAATATGAAAACGTGTTTGGTAACGTCTTGCGTTTTAAGAAATTCGAAAACAAAACAGCATTGGGATGTCATTTGTGAGATATATTTTTGTAATTGGCATATTTCGGTAACAAAACAAGTCCTAGTCGAGTTGTAATTTCAGTTACCATATCAGACTCAACATCGATTGCGAAATTGGAAATTTGTTCAGAAGAGGAAAATACTGTTGATCATTGAAAAGGCAAGAACAACACAATAGGACATCGTTTCCCACTTGGGACACAATGATATACATGGCATATTTTCAGAGTTCTAAAAATACAGAAATTCCAAGTTCGGGTTGAATTATGTCCTTTGGGAACCGGTACTTGAATTTGGGAGTCAGTTCCAGAAGCTATACTTCAAGAAAACTCTCTGTCCTTTGGGAACCGGTACCAAGATTGGGAACCGGTTCCACAAGTCCTGATTGTAAAAGGTTTACAGTTTCCTTATTCTGTTTAATACCTTTTTGATTCAATTTTCCTTCCAAGTCCTATGCACGAAATTTCCTTTATTTTCAGAAGGAATAGGACTTTGCAAACCTCTATATAAACCATATCATATACAAGGTTTATTCACAGCTTTTACATCATTATTCAGATATTATACAAAGCCTTAGGAAGAGTATTGCTCTTAGAGAATCAGATATTATACAGATATTATTGCTCTTAGAACATACATATATTCACCTAGTTAGGTTAGAGTTGTGGAGTTCGAATCCTGATCGCAATCATACAGTTGTATTTACATCGATCAGACAAAGCAGATCTTCTTCTACATCATTTAGACGATCGAAGAACAGAAGTAAAAATAATCACACTTTGAAAGGGTTGGAGCATTCATGGAGTGTTATCTGATCTACCTGCTACTCTTCTACAAATATCAAGTGTAAGCCTGAGGTCAAATTGCTGTTGGACGGGGAGTTGCAAAGCCAAATGATTGTCAGCAGTTGGTGTTTGGTAGAACGATAGGGTGTGAGCCAGAGTCAAAGTTCGGTATATTTTGTTTCAAGCATAATGGATTGATTTACTTTGGACTACACAAGTCCACGAGGTTTTTCCTATAACAGTTAACGTATTTTATCAACTGGGGTTTCTTCGCTAAAATCCTGGTGTCATCTCTAACTTTATACTTTGCTTTATTTTATCTGCATGTGATTAACTGTTTAATTAAGAAAATAAGTAAAGTTGGTATTGACACTGATCTATTTTACAAAATCTAAAACTTTCTTAAAATACATTCCGCTGCGTACGACTCACATCATTTTGTTCCGAAAATTTCTGAATCAATAACATAAAACCTGTTTGGTAAAACTGTTTTGTTTTTGTTTTTAAAAATTATATATAATATTAATATTATTTTTAGTTATATATGTAATAGTCCAATTTTATATGGTTTAAGAAATTTTGTACAGAAATTTGTTTTTTTTTTTTTTTTTTGTTTTTTTTTTTTATCCATTTACATTTAGGATAAATAAATAAATAAATAATTCTAACCATTGGGTCAATATGTTAAAATAATTTGTATTTCACTTACAAAATTATCTCCATTAATATATATATCTATATATAATTCTTGTGTAAGAGATTTGATTTTATTAGAATAACTTTTATTAGTGTCATTATTGTGTAAAAAACCCAACATTTTGATGCCTTGGTTTCTCTTGCCTTGGTAATATGTGTTTTGCTATATTCATTTGTACTAAAAGTGTTTGTGGAACTTAATAATTTGTTTGAAATATTTTTTTTAAAGTATTTTTAACCCAACAATAGTGTTTTTATACTTGTCTCAATA